AGTGCATAACTAATAGGTTTCTGCTGTGTTAAATGGTCTTCATTGGACCTTCACTGAACAGCTGGATTTATAACAAAATTAAATTACTCCACGGGAAGACTCTGTCAACTAATAGGTCAAATTCTGGAGGCTACTAGATATTCCTGCCATAAATCTGAATAATACAAATTTAATTTCCTAGCCCTTGTTCCTGGCCCTATTTTCTTCACCTCGTGACAACAGCTTCCTTCAAAAGAACCACAACAAACGTGTATACATTTATGTTCTTCATTTACAGTACATGTGGAGAATTTATCTGCATTTGACCCATCCCCTTGGGGAGCAGTGGGCTGCCATTGTGTGGCAACTAGGGAGCAGTGTGGGGATAAGTGTCTTGCTCAGGGAGCCAGAGTACAGGCTGTTGAGATTGAAATTGGTACTTGCAACCTTCTTAGAGCACAAGCACACTGCTCTAACCCACTCGGCCAACACTCCGCATTATGTGGGTTGTGTCTGTTAGTCATGTTATGCAAAGGACTTTGGGAGTCCGTATAGTTTTTAAGCACCAGACATTAACATTGGGAGCACTTGATGCTAAGTGAACTTTCAAATAGGAATCATCCAGCCTACTTTTTCAACCATCTTCCTCACTGCCAGCACTATTAGAGCAACACAGATCATAGTGACCACAGACGCCATTTTGCTTTGGCTTAGGAGTCCTTGGTTAAGTTCAGATAGAACCTAAATTTTATTTGGGAGAGTATGCGAATCAGAAATAGCAGTAAAATAAGCATTACAGATGAGGACAAGAAGTCCCAATGCAAATCCTCGCCACACTTTGTAGACCCTTTCACTAACATATCAAATCCTGATAAAATATACTGAAGCTCTGAGTCCAAAAATGAGCAAGGTTCTGTATATATAGCATTGAAAGGACATTGCAAAATAAAATATACATTTCTAATATATGTTAATAAAAACATAAAACTGTAAGTATGGATTTATGTGTGTTCATGTGTGATGCTGCACAATAAATTCTCTCAATGTGTTCAGTTAAATATATCAACATAAACTGTACAGAACAAAAAGTTATTTGTACTGCAGTTATTTTCCTTTTATCCTTACAGAAAGACCACTACCTTTGTAATTTAACAGCATGCACATTTTAAAGATTTAAATGTTCCATATTTGAAATCCTGTTTGACCTTCTAAATGTTAAACTAGTTGACTTTACAACTTATCATCTGGGTAATCATAGTGAATTGATATTAATTCAGCTGTAAGTAACTCAAGATTAGCTTATATGAGTCCAAATAAGTACTGTATGTGTGGTTAATGCAAAAATTAATGCTCCTTAGTGAAAAGCTTCTGTGATTTGGTTTTAATAGTGGACCATCGTTCTGTCTCTTGCTTCTCATGCTGTTGCCACTGCATCTCTGAGCACCTTCTAAGGAATCAACATTCATGCAATGAAGTAATACCGCAATAGGTGACGCTAGTTTTTTTTTTTCTGAGGCAATGACATATATTGATGTTTTTGACTTTGATGTATGAACAAACTCCACTTCGGCTAATTACTATGAGCTGTTACAGCTCCCCTTGCTGGCTCTCAGGAAAAACAGCTGACGCAAACGACTGCCAGAGGACAGCATAAGTTTAAAGATCTGTACAGGTGAAGATGCAGCTTCTTCTAATGCCTTCTGGGATTCTGACTTTCAATTCGCCTGATTGGAGAGAGACAACTTGAAAACCTATAATGGGACTGAAAACTGAACTAAAATGAGTTGAGCTATGTTAACAGAATAAAAGTGATCGCATTTTTTAACACAAATGTTTAAAATGCTGTAATCTTGTATTTACCTCTGCGATATGCAAGACTTGGTAAATAATAATGTCAAAGAAAACAGTGCTGGGAAGGAGTTCTTGTTCTACAGCTGAATTAAATAAACGGACTAAAACCATCACTCCATCATACTTGATAAATTGTTATGAAGGAACCTCACTCACAGTGTTAGAGCAGGGTCACATATGGAACAAGCTGGGCATCTATTTTGGAGGACTGGAAGAGAGCACCACTAGATTAAAAGCCAAATATCATGATTCTTAAAACCATGCATTTTAAAAATGTTAAAAGTATAAATCAAAAGAATTAAAGCCTTTGCATTCTATGTTTTTTAAAGTAGAATTCCAATTTTTTTTTTCTGATAAAAAAATTGCTTTAAGGGCAATGTCTATATGATAATGTGTCCTATGGAACCACATTCTGAGACGGTCGACTTTTGCCAGGCTTTGCTGCCAGGTAAAAAAAAAAAGACACTTTCTAATATTTCAAAATTGAATGGAATTGTAGCTGTTTATTGGAAACAGAAAAAGGGTTGAAGGGGGCTCTCTTTGATGAAATATCATTCTATTCAGGATATGTAGGCAAGCTTAGACAAACCCAATGTTAGGAGGAAGGATTTCTCTTCGCCCCTAAAAACACTTTTAGTTGGAGGGGCTGGAAGGTGGCACCGTTTGCAGTAGGGCATGAAAATATAAATAAATATAAATAACCCATTATTCAATATGTATTACAACAGAAACCTGATATATATATCAATAGAAAAGACACATAAGGTAATTTTCTATAATTTAAGTATGCGTTGATCCAGAACTATATGGCATTCTTAGGGATGAAGTGGAAGGGATTTAGCCTCTCTGTCTCACACGGCCATGCTACGCAAGATTGGTAGTATGGCCGACCCTTTTTTTTTTTAAGGTTATGTTTAAATAGAGTTACCACTTGAATTCTGGATTCCCCCCCACCCGTCTTTATTTTAAGTGCGAAAAACAAAAAACTAATCAATAATTGTCAAAATCGACTGATATGAAAGGCTCGTATTGTTAAACATTTTTCAGCCAAATTGCACAGCCCTATATGACAATGCGTGGCTCCTGTTACTATGCCTGTGACTGATCTTGGCTACTTAGCCAACGGGATTTCCCTTTGGCTGACCGGTCAGCATGCATGACTTTCACCCAGGAAACCTGAAACCTTTCAACCTTGGGATTTAATCTGTTCTGTACCTTGCCACATCTAGTTTGCAGCACTATTACCTTGCAGCTAAAAGTTTTTATGTTCTCTCTGGGTACTCTGGCTTCCTTCCATAATCCAAACTCTTTATCTGTGGTTGCGTATATCCCACCTTTCATCCATAGATTGATAGAGATAACATTTAACTCTAACAGATCGATGGATTATGAATTGAATCTTTGCTAGAGGACACAGCACAAAGCATGTCCCAGCTAGGGCAAAAACCGCAAGCAGAGCTTTGTTTGTGAGAATAAAGAAAAAAAACAAAAAAGACTCCAGTTGCATGTTGATGGTGTTAGTGGATCAGACCAATGGCTGTTCCTTCCAAACGGTCTCTTTGCATGTTTGGCCAACAACAAACTGCAGCAGTGACTAAATTTCTGCCTGACTTAAACGAAACCACTTGTGTTTTGACTGCAACCGCTGTTTGATGCAGCTACAATTCTAAAGAAAATTATAAAAGAGAGCTCAAACTTCATATGCTTCTGGTTGAATTCAGAATATAATTTCAATTTCTCCTTCTCGCATATAAAGCCTTTAACATCCATCAAAGAGCAGACTGTCCCATATGTTCCTAACTTCACTCCCAAACCACATAGTTTACTAGTGGTAACTAGAGTTAGTAAAAGAAGAATGAGATGCAGATCTTTTGCATTTCAGGTTCTTTTCTAGAAAACAAACTACCAGTTTTAGTACCACAATAAAAATATACACAATAAAACACAAACACACAGTCACATATCGTCAGTAGATTTGGAGAGGCCAGAATGGACTGAATCTGAAGAGACAACCAAAACATCAAATTAAAAAGCCCGATGGCTCATTGGATGAAATAAGTTTAAAACAATTTGTTTTCCCTGAGAGAGAGCAGTGACGCCACCACAGGAGTCATGAGGACAAAAACTGCTCCTAGAAAACTTCTTTTTATATTCTAAGGATTTCATTTGCTTTTCGGCCACTATCCGGTTCCAGAGAAAAGTCAGATATTTCTGCACATCCTTAACCAAGGATACAAAAGGGTTTTTATCCTGTCTTTTATGAGCTTCATAAGAACTGCTAATTCAAATGTTTTGGGGCTGCCCTTCTTCGCAATACTATTTGTGAAGCAGTTGTGAGGAGTTTGTGAAGGTAAATCCAGCTAGGGATTAAGCTTTTTGTAAATCTGAAAGGGCTTCTATCTTGACTACCTTCTTTTAAGACATTCCCAAACTGCCAGTAGCATAAGCAATGTACTTAGTTCAATACGGTGGTAACAAACTGGTTTGAATGACTTATGATCATGCAATCTTTGTAGATAACCATAAATACATCCGCTGATTCCACAGGCAGTTTTTATTTAGGTCATACAATATAGTCTCTTATATAACATCTTTGAAGATCATGTCCTAAATGTCCAAAGCTAGAGGACACATATTCTGCTAATGTCCATAACCTGAACCCATACATAATACTTGCTTCTACCATAACTAGTCTTACAATAGGAATAATAATAGAAATACTTTTCAAAATACTTTTCATTGCAGCATATTTTTCAGTTTTGGATAAACAAATAACATTAAAACTTTAATATGCAACAAGCTTAAACCCAAACAGAATTAATGAAGAAAGCTTATTAATGTAAGGATGAGTTATTTGGCATTAGTGATTGGTGTTTTTTGTTTTTTTTAACCTTGAAATAACAACATTTTGTAGGACTGCTGATCAAACAAAAAAAAATTATTTGTAGTACTGTTTAAAAAACTTAAGCTGTTCTTGCATGATGCCTATTTTCTATGAAGTGAACCTGAATAAACAACAACCTTAGGAACATCACGTCTTGACATTTGCACACAGGCAAAGAACTGCAAAAAAAAAAATACAATTGTAATAATAATAAAATTACAACCAAACAAACCCATTTGGTATCAAGACTGGATGTACAGTAATTCAGAGAGATATTAACTCCTACCAGATAAGCTCAGCTGAGGTGGTTTCCCCATCGCTTGTCTGGATGGGTGAATGCAGTGGAAACCTGCCTTCTAGTCCTGTGGTTAAACTGCCTCCTCCTTGTGTCTCTGCCCTGCAGAAAAGATGAAGAAAGAAATCCCCTCTGTGACAATCATCTGAACAACACGGGAAACCTGGAAACATCCTTTGTTCAAAATAACTTCCTGAAATAACCTAAATGCAAATTCATTCCATAAATATCAAAATGGATTCTCTGGTTTGTGAAGCAAGGAAGCAAACAAGTAAAGCAGAGATTTATAGAAATGTGTTCTGTTGACATTTTTTGTTATACTAATAATGACGATTATTGAAATGTAAAATTTGTCAAAAATCAGTACATTCTGCCGTGAAAGCATTTATGACATGGAACTAAATAATGTCAGCCATAATGCTAACTTACTTATGATGTCACATTCCTTTTGGCTGACTCATAACATACATATGTATACTAACTGCAAAGCTAATGAGGAAGAACACAAACAGCTGAGTTTTCATGAAATCCCTGCGTCTGTCCAGGAAGAGCTGCAACTGATCTCCTTACCATACTGAATGAAACACTTCTTAGGTGAAATAATTTTACTATGCGTATATTTTTCTTAGCAGATACCAAATGCATTCATCACCGGGATCAGTCACATCTCATATGTTAACCACTGAAAGACTCTCGATGACTACACCTTGTTTCATATTGCCTTAAAAGTGATCATTCTAAAGTAACATTTTTTAAATAGTATATATGTTTGGACAAAAAAAAAATATGAAAAAAATGTATGAGAAACTTGAATTCTATTTTTCTACCTAAAGAAAATAAAACATCAAATTAGGATTTACCTAAAACATAAATAGTAAAATAAGGTTCAGGGAAGAGTCAAAGATTTTCATTAAGAACGCAATGCACACTCATTTTGTAGTCTTTAAGTTTTAATTTTCCTGCTGAGCTCTTAGGTCTCAGATTCTTACTCATAAATGCAAGTTTCTGTATACTGTTTAGCAGATAAGCAGACGTCTAAACAGCCATCCCACACACTTAACGGACGGATGCATTATTTTGTGGGCGGAGTTCTGACTAAACATGAAGCCTGTTTCTGTGCAACAGACAGAGACAGAGGAAAACAGTCCTGTAGTGGGTGGTCAACCAGACTTCAATTTATCTGCTTTTAATAAACACATCCTGTGATATCTCTGTTGATTTTAAGCCATATGATTCATCTACCTTAACTTCATTTAAATGAAAAATATGACATGATTTCTTCCTCCTAGAATTCGAGACAAATAACACCTCCAATGCAATTACCTATTTCACAAAAACTACTTATATATGTAATGTAAATCCCTTAAATGTCCCGCAATAGGGAACTTTGTTCTCTGCATTTTGACCCATACCATTGGGGAGCAGTGGGCTGCCATTGGTTGGCACTCACAGGTTAAGGGTCTTTGCTCAGGAAGCCAGAGTACAGGCTGTGGGGATCAAACCAGGTACTTGCAACCTTCTCAGAGCACAAGCGTACTGCTCTAACCTACAAGGCCAACACTACCCCTCTCATAATAAACAAATTTTTAGATATCTACGAATCCTTCATAAATCCAAATGGACATAAATAATTTTGTTGCCGTTCCTTTTTGTATTGTACTTCCTCCTCTCATAGCATGTTGCGGATGGAGATTTTCCTGAATGAGAAATAAAAAACAAAAAACAAAAAATAAATTAAGCAAGAAATGAAAAAAAAAATGAAAATGCAAAGCCATCAGGCTCTGTTTACCTTTCAGACACTGTGCCTGTATATTTTGGTAGGGAATATAAACATAGAGAAATGCTTGGTGTGATTTTTTTTTTTCTTAATCTGATCTGAAGCATTAAATATAATTGTGATACAAAATAACAATCAAGCTAATGTTCAGAAAAGCATTCTGATAGTAGTTAATACAAATAGGTGCAGCATTAAAAGATGTAAAATGATGCTTTTTGCCATACGGAATTCAGACATTTGAAGCAGTTCTCGATTCACATGTTTCACTTTCTCTACAGCACATTAGAAAAATCCACAAGCTTTCATAACAAGATTGCAGAAAATTGTTTAATACAAATGAATACTGCAAAATTCTTTTTCTCAGGTTAATTTGTGATGGCAGACTGAAAAATGAAACTTTTTTTTTTTAGTATAGAATTGACTTCTCCCAGCCAAGGAAGAATGTGCAATTACATCTTAATTGGCTTCTGTTATTGTACTGTATAATCTATAAAACAAAGTAATCATCACTTTCAACTATAGAAGAAAAATGCAAGATAGACATCTCAGAGCTCCTCGTTTTTACTGTTTGAGCTACAAATTTGTATTTACTTGTAGGTTTTATGCACTTTTCTTGAAACTGACACAAAATTTATTATTGTCAGACATTACATCGGATCAACAAAAATGTTATTTTACTTAGTTAACGATTCATTTAACTGACGATGATCTGCTGATCTGTAGGTTTATCACTAACCTTTAGCAAGCACATTTTTAGTAAAACTTTGTAAGACCTGTTTTGGTAAATAATGCATACTAACACAGGTGAGTCAAAAAAAATCTTCATATACATTATCCGCATTCAACAGCTCACAGCAGCGGCTGCTGCTCTCTGAAACCAGGAAGGCTCAATGGTGTTAATTAAATTGAAATGTTACGTATTACATTAAAAATAGCTGTTGTGAAGTGCTCTGAAATGTTAAACTCCAGAAACCATGGCAAGAGTTCAGCACATCTGACTGATCACTTTTCCTTCTCGACTCATGAGGAAAACCTCCTCGCTGTCTGGCCACTCCTTCAAAAATCCTAATGGATGTTTGTCAATAAGCATTGAGCAGCCAGCCTCATGATAGAGCCCCTACCAGCATGTCCAAAGTCAGGCCTCGAGGGCTGCTGCAGGTTTTCAATGTTTCTTGGATTCTGATGATTGTAGTTGAGTAAAGTCTGTTAATCAGCTAGGAATGGAAACGAGCTGTACTGAGGCAGAGAAACCTCAAAAACCTGCAGGACGACAGCCCCCAAGGACTGACTTTGGACATGCATGTCCTCAGAGGTTTAGCCTCAATGGAAGCGACGTATTTTGGCGTATTATTCAATCAGGCTCTACTTTCTCACTGTTTACCTCATAAGACGGGGCTCAAACCTCAGCAGGGATTTCTCAATGAGACTGATGGCAGCATCCTGCTGCTCAGGAGCGGAGGGGAGATCGTTAAGATCATACTCTTGAAATCAGGCGCATTTAAGCACATATTTAATGCAGTTTAATGACTATATCTAAGAAGTTGAAAAAATGCCTATTTTATCGATTATTACCGAGAAATTGCCACAGGCTGCCCAATCTCATAACATCCGTCCATTATCTGACATGCTTTATCCCAAGTGGGGTTGCGAGGGGTGCTGGTGCCTATCTCCAGCTGTCTATGGGTGAGAGGCGGGCTACACCCTGGACAGGTCGCCAGTCCATTACAGAATCTCATAACAATGAGGTTTATTTTTGTAGATTTCATTGCAGCTTTTTTAATATTACAATAAATGGCCAAAGATAATAATATGTCCAGCAGAGAACTTAAACATGAACATAAACATACCATACAGACTAGATGTTAAAAGAGAAAAACATGTCCCCTAGTTAGCCATGTGGTTAATAATGCAAATGATGCCTTTATGCAAACATTCATGAAACGAAAACCTCATGTGTAAATGTTATGTTTTTGTTTATTTAAAATAATAACACTTGAGCCATTAATAATTACACTTGAATATTTTACTACATGACATGATAAGATGACTAAAACTAAGAACTTTCATGATTACAGATGAATTTATGGTCTGCTGGGGAAAAATGTCTGCTCTAAAGTAGGGTTCATAGGTCTGGCTGTGAGTGCTGTGGTCTTTGCAAAGGAGGGTGATGAAGCGTTAACAAACAAACATTAAAAAAAAAGAAAATCATTAAGATGTTTCCCTCCATTTGTGCAAACATATTTTATCCTTTGGGCAGATAAGTTGAAATACACATTAAGCATGTTTTTTCTGTGTTTATATCACAGAATCAAAAGGAAAATAAAATACTTAATCTTTCCCATCTACAGCTTCATGAAAAGCTTTCCTTAAAGGGAGGAAGCATCCCTGTTGGAGACTAACAGGGTATAACATCATGCATTTAAGAGCCAATGCCATGTAGCTCTCAATGGTAAACCTGAAATGTATGAAACTTGGGGATGTACAGGTGCTGGTCATAAAATTAGAATATCATGAAAAAGTAGATTGATTTCAGTAATTCCATTTAAAAAGTGAAACTTGTATATTATATTCATACATTACATACAAACTCATATATTTCAGATGTTTATTTTGTTTAATTTTGATGATTACAAATGACAACAAATGAAAATCTCAAATTCATCATATCAGAAAATTAGAATATTGTGAAAAGGTTCAAAATTGATGGCCCCTGGTGCCACACTCTAATCAGCTAATTAACTCAAACCACCTGCAAAAGCCTTTAAATGGTCTTTCAGTCTAGTTCTATAGGCTACACAATCATGGGGAAGACTGCTGACTTGACAGTTGTCCAAAAGACGACCATCGACACCTTGCACAAGGAGGGCAAGACACAAAAGGTCATCGCTAAAGAGGCTGGCTGTTCACAGAGCTCAGTGTCCAAGCACATTAATAGAGAGGCGAAGGGAAGGAAAAGATGTGGTCGAAAAAAGTGTACAAGCAAGAGAGATAACCGCACCCTGGAGAGGATTGTGAAACAAAACCCCTTCAAAAATGTGGGGGAGATTCACAAAGAGTGGACTGCAGCTGGAGTGAGTGCTTCAAGAACCACCACACACAGACGTATGAAAGACATGGGTTTCTGCTGTCGCATTCCTTGTGTCAAGCCACTCTTGAACCACAGACAGCGTCAGAAGCGTCTAAAGAGAAACAGGACTGGACTGCTGGTGAGTGGTCCAAAGTCATGTTCTCTGATGAAAGTAAATTTTGCATTTCCTTTGGAAATCAAGGTCCCAGAGTCTGGAGGAAAAGAAGAGAGGCACTTCATCCACGTTGCTTGAAGTCC